TGCGTAGTCAATTTAAATTGCAAATACATCTTTGCTTCAGCAACAATCCCATCACAAATGAGGGAAAGACTAAGGCTTCTTTAAAATTTACTTCTCTCCTGTGAGTCAGAATCGTTCGTAGCAGTGGAGTAATGGTTAGTGTCGAGATTTTATGCTGCACTACCAGAGTTCGAATCTCGGTGGGGGTGCTGCTGTGACCTATGAGGTCGAAACTGCAGTCCATTCCAACCTGGATGATAATACCTTTTGGAAAGCAAGACAATGTATATTTGATGACAATTTAAGGCCTACAAATATAATTGTTGAAAATTTCAATTAACAGACCTTCATGACCTTAACTAAATAAGGTTAATATATCTAATATAAACTTGATTTATTGGTAAGCAAATAAAAATGCACCAACAAAATTCGCAAAGTAGAGCTGTAAGGATGCTTAATACATAAAATTTATTAGGAAAAGAATAGGTCATCAATTCCAATGGAGGCCCCTGATCATCAATCTTCTCCAAGGAGCCGAGAGAAGACTATCAGCCTATTCATAGTAGTCTCCTTGGTCTCCCCTCCCACCCCCACCATCCTCGCCACCTACCGTATACCCACCGAGACCGTCATCACTAAAATCGCCTTCTCCATTATCAAAATATGCTTGACAGTAGTCATTGTCCAACTCTTCGTCATCCGCGTCGGGGCCTAGTTCACCAGCCTCGCCGTTCCACCGGGCATCCTCTGTGTCGGTGCTACTTCGATCCCCGTCGCCATCTCCAATAGCTAGCGAATGAGTTTCCTGGCCAAGTCCCTCGTCGTCGCCAACTTGTGGTGGAGTAAAAAGTAAGTAATGCTAAGAGCGATCAATAAAATCATGTTTGTTGCGAACTATTATAGCTGCAATTCAGGTCATTCATTCTGCAGACTTTCGAGCAGAATCGGCGATAAATATTGAGTAATAAGCTTACAGCCATGAGGGAGACTAAAACTAACCAGCAATAAAATATCTGCTAACTAGAATAGAAATAATAATATGACCAGATTGTGCTAATAAAATCTTGCAACAAAATCTAACTGGCATATACATAGCATAAAGATGATTATACTAAGACCTTCATAGTCCGCACATCCGGCTTATGCCCTCGGAACATATCGTGAAAAAACACTCAACGATAGTGAGAAAGTACCATAACGTGAATACCATTAACCAATGTCCCTAAAAATCGGCGCATCGCTTAGCTTGCTCGGCATGGCGTTCAAATAAAAACAATCATAAATAAATAGCTAATTGGTACTTTGCGGGATCAAGTCAGCTGTAAGACCTACCCATTTCTGCCTCTTCCGTGGCATCTGTAATGACCTGGTCGGAAATAAGATCATCAAGGCTGCGGTCGGGCATTCGCGGTCGAGAGTTAGATAAGGGCTTGCGTTTTTTTTTCCGAGACCCTTCGAAGGTAGTCAGCAATTGAGCAAGCTCCGGTGGGTACCTGGTTCAATAAATAAAGGGTTAATACATACGGACACAGGAAAAAAGGTATTAAGCAGAAGAGAGATACTCAATAAAATAAATAGTGGGTTGCGTAAAGCCTGACAATTATTCGCCCGAAATACAAACAAAACCAGATGCCAGTCTAGAAAATAGCACGAATACATTCATTTAAGCGTACATACATATACAAATCCATATATATATATATATATATGCATGCATGCAGGTGTAAGAAGTTAAATGCGACGCTATAAACGCAGAAAAAATGTTTTAGCTACAA